ATTCAGCTTCACTGACCTCCCCTGTTCTTCAAATAACATTTCTGGTTGTTCGTTTGTTTCTTGAGACTGGGTCTTGTTCTGTAGTCAAGACTGGCCTTGAACTTGCTATGTAGCCCAGCCTGGCCTGGAACTTGAAATCCTCCTGCCTCAACCTTAGAGTGCTCTTATTATAGGTGTATGTACCACACTCTGCTACAAAGCACATTTTTTGTTTCTGGGTCTTTCTTTTCTGACTCCAGATTTTTGCATGGCTGTCTCCTTATTATCCTTCTGATCTGAGGAAAAATGTCATAGCCTCAGAGATGTCTTTCCTGACCACCCAGTAAAGTGCTCTCTCTCTTTTTTCTGGCCAGTCCTATTTCCACATACTATTGGTTTTTATTTTTTCTGTCTCTCTTGTTGGAATGTAAGATCTAGGTGGATATACAGTACTTGTTTACTGCTAAATCCTGCTGGACACAAAGTAGAAATTGAATATTTGTTTGAATGAATGTAATTAATGGAATTTTAGAGTCTATCTGACAGAAATAATAGGTATTTTTCCATTGCAAAAGACCAATTATTTTATGAGCTATGAATCATATGTTCAAAATAGAATTAACAAGTGAATCTAGCCAGAAAAGACAATGATTTAAACTCTCACCATCTTGATGAAAAACTAAAAGTAACTCTCACTATTATAAAATTAAAATAATGGATTAATCCATTGATGAGGTTAGCACCTTCCATACAGAAGCCTTTGGGGGGACACTTCATATTAAAACCATAGCTCCCTCTCAGGACCAGAAGAGGTAAGGGCTTCCTGCTTTTCCTAGCGTTAGTGTATTGAACTACCTCTGCCCATTCCTCACCCCCCGCCCCGCCCCCCGGTCCTGGGGATTGAATCCCGGGCCTCATATGTCAGAGGCAAGCACTTTACCACTGAGCTACATCTCAGCCCCTTCTGTACCCCTTTCTGTACTTAAACAGCCCCTTTATAAATATCTCCTTGCTTATCTGCTTTGTGATCACCCATCTGCTTCCTGTTGGATTCTGAGTCATACATGGTATCAAGCCTACAGCCTAGAAATACATTAAACTAAGCATTTCTAGCCAATGGAAGATTTTAAACAATGCCTAAGAATCCATAAGTATGGGAACTATTGTTTCTAATTTGGAATCTGACATCATATTGGATAGTTCCTTTAGAAATGGTTCACCAATTAAATGTATTTCAGGTCCTTCTTACCTCAAAGAATTAGACAATTCAAACCAAAAACAGTGTCAAAAGTTTATTTAAAAAGTGCGGAGTAGGGGCCAGGGATTTAGCTCAGTGGTTCTGCCACCTGCCTGGCAAGCACAAGGTCCCAAGTTCGATCCCCGGTACCAAAAAATAAAATAAAATAAAAAGTGCAGGGTGAATGGGTGAGGAAAAAACTAGCTCTGTAGAGTGAACTTGGGCCAAACAAAGGATAAAAGCAAAAATAAAAGGACATTCTACATCAGATGCAGGGTAGGCTACCATGAGGAGTCACAATAGCAGACTCCCTGTGGAGTCTCATCTCTTTTATGCCATTCACATCTCGTGGGAGCTCTCAAGAAGTTCCACATATGGGGTCCTGAGAATTGTTTGGCACTGCCCTGGGATCTTGTAATTAATAGGTCCCTTTATTTCCCCAGCCAGCTTTGCTACGCCCTGAATACTACATCAATATGAGATATAAAAATAAACAAACAAACAAAAAATAGCCTGTCTTTTCTCACAGGAATGAGTTAAGGATGTGCCCACTTGGTGATAACTTACATGTGGCATGATAACAAAGTATTACTACAGACAGCTAAGTTCAAAATTAATGTGCAGTCAGAGAGGGATTGGGCCCTCGAGGAAGTGGATACAAAAAAAAAAAAGAGATAACAGAATTGTGGCTAGAGGTAAATCTGAAGAGAGCCAGGCCTGAGAGCCTCTCTAGAGATAAACAGCAGCTTGAGATTATACTATAATTAGCACTACCTGGTCCAGTGGGCCCAGATAGGCATCAGCCGCATAGGTGGGTGACCAGAATATCTGGATCCAAACTCCCCTCCCTTCCCCAAATGCCTTTGTTCTTTCCATACGCCCTTGCTATGTGACTCATTTCCCTATTGGACCAATATTAGGTAAAGCAGCTATACTTGTAATCCTATAAGGTTGATTGTAGTCTGACCCATACTGTACCCACATTGTGACTTTGCTGAATAAATTACCCCTGACAAAGAGCCACAGTGGCCACCCACTCAGGAACCCCCCCTGGAAATCCAGGAGCTGTTCTTCTCTCCTTATCTCCAATAAAACTCTCCTAACTTCTCCTTTGGTGCTCATTTTCCTTCTTCAATATTGTGAGACCACAAACTCAGCACATTTGACATCTAACAGGTTGGGAGTTATATTTTTCCATATCAGCTGGGACTCATCTGGCTCATCTTGATCCTATTTATGTGAATGCATACAAATGTATGTAAGACATACACTTAATCATTTTAGATATATTTACATTTAGTTAATATTTTTCTGTCTATATATATATATATCATATATTACACTATACATTAATGGTCATTATTTAAGAAAAGCAATTTGCTTATTATTCTTATATAATCTACCCAAAACAAACTATAACCAAATTTTCTCTATATGGTATCAACTGTAGGAAATGGAGGAGGGTCAGAGCTAGAAGAAACTAGTGAAATAAGTTCAACAAAGAGGGGAAAAAGGAAAAAGGTCAAGTTGCTTAGGCACCTAGCCATGATCACAAATCACTTGCCATATTCTAAAAAGTACTTCCATTCCTAATAACCTTGCATTCCAAGATAAGCTGTGATTGGCAGGAAATCCTAAAAGCTTTGCCTCCAGAGATAAACCACAAAAACAGGAATATCCTGTTTCTTTATCAAAAGAAACGAACATCTTGTTCATATCCAAATAAATAATTAACTGCCTCATCTCAACTTTAAATTCCTATTATTCAATTTGATGACACCTAACTTTTGAAAGCCTGATTTTCTTGAACTGCTAATAAAAATGTCTATTCCAGGCTGGCCTTGAATTCACAGCAATCCTCCTGCCTAGGCCTCCTGAATGCCTCTGGATTATAAGTGCTCACTACCACACTCATCTAAATTTTATCATAGGGTGTTATGCATAGGGAGGAAAACATATATATAGGACTTGGTACTATCCACTGTGTCTTAGTCACTTTTTCTCATTGCTGAGACAAAATATCCGACACCCAAAGTTAAAGAAGGAAAGGATTATTTGGTTTACAGTTTGTAAATATTTCAGTCCACAGTTGGCTGGCTCCAAGACAGGGTGGCATGGCAGAGGAAACTAGAGGCAAAAATGGAGTTACGTTTCAGTATGTCATAGCCAGCCTGTAGGCAAGAAGACTAGGCCTAATCATACTTTAATTATGAAATGATTTTTCCCAAAAGTTATGTAGAATGGCTCCCAACAGAGAAGATCTTACAAAAGGGAGTTTGACATGTAATCATCAAATCTTCAAGGCTCGCCTATGATCCCAGCTACTCAGGAAGCTGAGGTAGAAAGATCAACTTCCAGGTCAGCCTGAGCAATAAGTAGAGAGAAGAAATTCCAACATACCTGTAATCCCAGAACTCAGGAAACTGAGGCAGGAGGATTGCCTTGAGTTCAAGGACAGCCTAAACTACACAGCCAGACCCTGTCTCAAAAAACAAAAACAAAAAAATTCCTGGAAGGAAGGAATCTGAAGGGTAGAGGGAAAAAATAAAGCCAGTTCTCAAGAAACCAGAGATTACCTTGTTCTACCAGCCAAACACCAGCCAATAAAGATAAGACTATGAGTTCAATCCCCTGTACCAAAAAATAAAGAAAAGATAAGACTGGGCACACTATAGGGTTCTACAGGGGACAAAGATAAGATCCCTAGAAACCACAAATAGCACCCACCTCTACGACTAAGCCATGATTGGGGACCATAAGGAATGGGCTTATTACGTACAAATATGTAGTTATAAAAGAAAAAAAATTGAGGGGACTGGGGATTTAGCTCAGTGGTTCCACCACCTGCCTCGCAAGTGCAAGGTCCAGAGTTCGATCCCTGGTATCCCCCCCTAAAAAAAATTGAACAAAGAAACTCCAAAAAAAAAATTTTTAATGGGACTAGTGAGTAAAGCTGATTATTTGGGGAAAAAAAAAACACAAAACCAAAATAACAACAAAAACACCCTTATAGACTGACACCTAGCTTCTCCAGGCTTGAGCTCTCCACACGAGTGTACTGATCTTCCATTTTTGCGACTAAAGCTATGCTTTCATTTCTTCTGCAGGTCCTGCTCAATTCTTTGTTTGGAATAATAGGAACCCAGGAGAGTCACAACCCCTGACAACAACCCTGGGCGATTTAGGGAGACTCTGTCTCAGAACTTTAAAAACGTATTTTTTCCCAAAGGGATAGGAGGAATGTAGCTGAGGGATAGAACGCTTGCTCAGCGTGTGCGGGGCACTGGGGTCCATCCTCAGTACTGAAGGAAAAAAAAATGTATACACACACACACAAGCAAGTTAATCTACAAGGAGAATGAAAAAGTATTAAAAAGTATCAAGTACTGGAGAGAGACCCACACTCCCTCTGGGGAAGATGCTCTTCCTTCCACTCAGGATTGGAGGGCGCCTCCTTGCCCACAATTAAATTCTTACTGAGAGTACGTTATCATGGAGTGTTCTCATCTATAAAATAAGGCTGAATAACTGATTGCACAGGATTATTGGGGGGGGGGGAATGAAAGCCCGGAAACTTACGCAGAGTCCCTAACTGCCCAGCACAGTCGCCTCAATCCGGCCGGGGAGCAATCAGCGCAAGGGCCGCAGGGGCGGGCTTGGACTCCCGAGGGGCTGCGCAGGCGCAGTGCGGAGACGCGCGCCAGGAGGGACCGGTACTCCCCCTCACTCTCTGCGCCCAGGGAGTCTCTGCATTTTACCACACCTAGCCCCTTCCGCGCAGCCCGCTGTGGCTCCGCCCCAAGGGCGCTCTCTTCCTCCGTAGCCTCTAGCACGATCACGTCCCCTCTCCCCCTTGACGTCACCAAGATTTACGCGAGGCGCGCGGCCGAGAGTTGGTTAATGGTCCCCCGCGATCTGCTTCTTGTCCTGGACAGTGGAAGAGGCTTCCCAGGGCTGCTGCGATGTGGAGCCCAGGGCGGGTCAGTCGGCTCCTGGATCTGTGAGTACGCCGCGCCCCGTGCTGCACTCCCTCTCGGTTCCCAGCCCGCTCCCTACCTCGGTCCCGGCTGCCCGGCGCGTCGTGTGCTCGCGGAGGTTGGTCGTGCCGCGCGGCCTGGCCCCGGAGCTCCTCGACGTCCCCGTTCGAGCGGCCTCATCTACTGAGTCGCAAGCCTCCGAGGGGCGAAACGGCGCGCGAGGCGGCCCCGAGGAGCTTGGCCCGGCAGCTGGCTGCCGTCACGGGGCGGGGAGAGCCGCGGGGGCCTGCTGGAGCTTCTCTCTAAGCCTGGGTCTGTGAAGCGGAGCAAGACCTGTCTCCAAGCGGCGTGGCGAAGGATGAGATTGACACCCGTGAGCCCGGAATGGGCCTTGCAAACAATAAACACCGCCAAGGGTTACTTACTGTTATTTCACCCCAGAAATTGTGCTGGAAATTGTGGTTACCATGGCAGTCGCTTCACTCTAGGAGCTTTTGGTCCGTTAATATTGCCGTGTCTAAAAAAATGACAGCTTGAGGCTGAGAACAGTTCCAATTTACGGAAAACCTCTAAAGATAGGCTTTGGCATTATATATTAGCATGGCTAGAAGTAGGTCTTTTGTTTCCAGGTATCCAGTTTTGTATTTTTAAGAGTTTCTCAATATTCAGTTCAGCATGTATTTACAGAGCATATATGTGGAAATAAATCCCTATGCTGAAGGTTGTACAAAGTAGCTAGCATAAAGGAGGTGCAATCTTATAAGATTGGGATACATGTGTAAATAACTATAATAATGGTAGAACAATGCTAGGAAAGAGGAGTTAGCAAAATATTATGAAATTTTTGATGGGGAAAAGAAAATACAAGACTAGGAGAAAGTTTTGTGGAAGGGATTCCATTTGACGATTGGTAGCTCCTTTCAGTTGCAAATTGAAAGAAATGCACCTAAGAGGAAGTAGAATAATAAGATGTGAGAAGACCAGAAGGTGGTATTCCAGTTTGACTGGAGGACACATTAGGAATAAAAGTGCAGTGAAACATGATGCCATGTAATTGATACAGGAGATGAAATATGAAAATATTATATCTCCCGACCTGTTAGATGTCCAGTATGCTGAGTTTGTGTTCTCTAAAATCAAAGAATGAATTCTAGGAACAACGAGGTTAAGAGTAGGAAAATATTTATTGAGAGGATAGCTCTTGAGAGGCAGGAGGGGACCCAAATGGGTAGCCAAGGACCCCACTTTACAGGGAAGTTGTTTTTTTTTTAAATTTGTTTTTTGGTACCAGGGATCGAACTCAGGACCTTGCACTTTTAAGGCAGGCGCTGGAACCACTGAGCTAAATCCCTGGCCCTCGGGGAAGTTTTATAGAGCAAAATCCACATGGATACAACATGGATTACAGCTATGATTAACCAATAAGGTCACAAGTATAGTCACTTAGGTAATAGTGATCCAATGGGGAAGCAAATCAAGTAGCAAATGTGCATGGAAAGAACAGAGAACCTCAGATAGGTAATGGATCTGGGGATCTCAATCACCCACTGAGGTAACTGATGCCTATCTAGACTTTACTAGACCAGGTGTTATCACTTATTCCATGGGGAAGTGTGTAGGCTTGGTCCTTTTGTTGTTATTTTGAGGCTTGGCCTCCAGCTGATGTGTCTCTGGGGGCAGTTGTATGGGTTTTCATCTTTTGTCCTGACCCTCTTAAGGGCTCAGCCCTGTCTGGCTGCCTATTATATTGCTATCTAATTTAGCTGTCTATAATACTATTAGAAAAGTAAAGAAGCAGGGCATGGGGGTGCGCATCTGTGATCCAGCCAGTTGGGAGGCCTGCTAGTTTAAACTCGGCCTGGGTAAGTTAGGAGACCCTGTCTCAAAATAAAAAGGGCTGGGGATGTAGCTCAGCACTCCCTGGGTTCAGTTACTAGAACCACAAAAAGTAAGAGTAAATGTATTTATATTCATGTGAGCAGAACTTTAAACCTTAGTACTTAGTGAAAAGAGGAAACTACCTAAAATTACCCAAAACGTGGAAGGCAAAAAAGATGACCACATGGCCCATATTGTCATAGTAGCACATATTGTCCCCCCACGAAGGGTGCATATTTGCCCTTAAAACCATAGCTTGTAACCCTTTGGGGGCAAGTATAGTCTGAGGCTGGCAATTGGTCCACAGGCAGCTTCTGGTTTATAACAAAGTACATCTTACCAAGATCACACCTCAGCTGTCTAAAGCCCCCACCCAACAACACGCCTTTGCCAGCAGAAAGCAGCTACAGAAAAAGAGAGCTTTGCCCCTATTCCATAATAACAAGAGTCTGGAATGATAGATAGAGTTCTCTACCAAACAAAATGGCCCCAACAGTCCTACATTCTAAAATGGCTCCTGGGGCCGGGGATTTAGCTCAGTGGTTCTGCTGCCTGCCTCCCAAGTGCAAGGACCCGAGTTCAATCCCCTGTACCAAAAAATAAAATAAAATAAAATAAAATAAAATAGCTCCTGTTCCTAAAATGGTTCCTGCTTATGGAAATGAGCCACTGGGGTGGGGGTGGGGTGAAACCTACCCTCTGGAGAAGCAAAACCTAACTTGTTGCTCCACCCTGCTACCCGCGTGATCCTCCCCTTCCAATCACCCAGGGTCCTCTAGCCTGCCCAACAACCCAACCAATTCTCAACTCTCAGGATACTCTCCCCACTACACCGCCCTATATAAACCTCACCCCAGTTAGTCTTGCCCTCTCTTGCCATTGTTCGAGGTAGCCTGGCAGCTCTTTCCCCCCAGTAAGCCTTGCCTTGGGTGAAAAAAAAGAGTATAGACATTGTGCTACAGTCATTCAGCTGTGTCACTGAGCACGCTACTTAGTCCTTCTAGTGTGACTTCCTCTATGGAGGAAACAGTGCTTGGTGTACATCTTTGCACTTTGATAGTACTGCCTTAGGGAATCCTTTGATCTGAGAACAGCTTTGAATAGAGGGACCAAGGAAAGAGAAGAATCTGAGATCACCCAAGTTTTCAGCTTTGATTGGCTGGGCAAATGATGGTAGACTGTTACAGAAGAGGAAGCGTCTCCTGGGGAAGACAAGTCAGAAGAACATCAATAGGAATATCAAGAAGGCAATGACAATGAAATTTCTAATTTGAAAGAAAGATCAGGAATTGAGGCTAAGGTTGGGAGCAAATTTTTTCTAAATAATAGGTGAAGTCATGATAAAGTTTATGGAAGAGGATGCAGAGAGAAAAAGGAGAAGATTTTATATAACACATTAGAACTAGAAAGATGTTTTTCCAAAAATTATTTCATAGAGCTGATTGGCTGAATACTAATAAATTGTCTCTTTTAACCATAAGATTTACAGCAAATCATATTGCATGGATGGCTCAGTATGTTTTATATACCAAGCCTGCCAAAAAATGTGTACACACTTCAGGAAATGAAAAACTTGTATAAATAGTTCAATACTAAATTTATTGAGACATCATGAGATTAATAAAAGTTATCTTTAGCCTCTACAATTACAAGAAGTGCTCAAAGTGGTGTCCATTAGCTTCCAGACATTTATTAGTACAGGGAACTGCTACTTGGATAGCCTTGGTCCATTGAGATTACTGCATGTGCATTTTCAATTTATTCTGTAAGGGTTGCAGTGTAGAGGGTCTTCTACAATATACAACATTCTCTAGGGTCCCCCATACAAAGGTAACACGATCTGTTAAAAAAAAATCGTACTACTTGGGACCTTCCACTCGAGGTAGGCAGTGGAACCACTAAGCCAAATCCCCAGCCCATGTGCATACTTTTTTTTTTTTGGTACCGGGGATTGAACTCGGGTCCTTGCACTTGCGCTTGTGCAGCACGCAGCAAAACCACTGAGCTAAATCCCCGGCCCCTATGTGCATACTTTTTTTTGGTAGACTCTTTCTGTATATATTCTCTTGTCTAACTTACCTCTAGGGAGAAATCACCAAAACCCTGTCCCAAGTGGTCTTCCTTGCTGCCGTAAATTTAATAAATTGCTTTGTCTGACCAACAGCCTTTTATGATTGTCTTACTGGACCTGTTTTGTTTTGTTTTTCTTTGTTTTGGTTTTGAGACAGGGTCTTGTTCTGTAGTTCAGAGTGGCCTTGAACTGTGTAATCTAGGCTGGCCTTGAACTTGTGGCAGTCCTCCTGCCTCAGTTTCCCAAGTGTTGGGATTACAAGTGTGCACCACCATGCCCAGCTTTCTGGATCATTTAATAGTCTACCGGTATCATTCAGCCAGGCATGGTGGTATATACTTGTAATCCTAGCACTTGAGACTGACATGGACTACATAGTAAAACTCTGTCTCAAACAAACAATCCTCATAGTAGTATTTAAATATTCCATGGCTGGAGGGAACTAGAGCCAAAAGAGGAAACCATTTCTGTAGTTCAGGCATAGCCTGAACAGTCAAGCACAGAGAAGAGAACACTAAAGGGCCAAGGTGAAAAGGGATGGTTGGTATTATAGAAAAAAGGAATATTTTAAATACAGTTGAACTCTGCCCAGAGGAAAATATAAGGGGAGTGACTGTGAGTTAATGTGTTTAGCATGGCACTTTCATGATGTTGGTAGAAGATCAGAGGCTTCTGGATCAGAGACAAAGGGCTTTGTTATTAAAACAGCATGAACATTAGTAGGAGTCTGTTTAGCAGCAGAGAACCCAGATGCCTGCACAATAGGGGTTTGCATTATAGACAGATGCCGTTTTTTTCAAGAAGTAAGTTCTTTGTGCTGGATGGAGACATTTTTCTCCTTAGGGTTGTTTACTATAAATGCATCCCCGGGAAGTGGGCCAGAAAAAGGGCCTGGCCTGCTTGACATTGCCAGCAAGTTAAGCAGGGCTGTGAAAAGTCCACAAAGAACCATTTCCCAACAGTTTGCTTCTTAAATTCTGGAGTCTCAGTTACTCTTCTTGTTGCTGAGACAAAATACCCAGCAACCAAAGTTAGAGGAGGAAAGTTTTATTTCAGCTCACATTTTGTAGAGGTTTCAGTCCATAGTCTCCTGGCTCCAAGACAGGGCGGCATGGTAGAGAAGCATCACAGAGGAGAAACAGTTCATGGCAGGCAGAAGGCAGCAAAGCAGTGAAGTAGCAAGGCTGCAGCCTCTCTTTCCCTTTTATCCCTTCCAGGCTGCCTGCCTTTTGGGTGTTGCCACCCACAGCCAGAGTGGGCCTTCCTATTATCCACACCCAGATTTATGCTAAATCAGCCAGTGGATTGATTTAGTAATCATGCACCCTTAATTCCAGCATCATATACCCTAGATCCACCCACCTCCCAAACTCCCCACT